ATTATATATATATATATAATGCATGGATATATAGAGGAAACAAAAGGCGACAAAAGGAGACAAAAGGAGACAAAAAGGATTAAAGAAAAGTTAGACAAGAGAAAATGTGTTGATTGCAGCAAAAAGCTGCCTATACACCCGAAATAGAAAAAGAGTCAAAGCAAGCTGCTTCGCTTGCTGCTGCTGCTGCTGCTGCTGCTGCTGCTCTTGCTGCTGCTGCTGCTGCACTTGCTGCAGCCAGATGACGAAGCTCAAAAGAAATAATGCAGCAGCGACTTGCGCAAAGCAAGCAACCTACCAGAAGCAGCAGGAGCAGCAACAGCAGCAACACCAGCAGCAAGGCTTGGATTGAGCAGCAGCAACGGTTAGCTGCTGCTGCTGCTGCTGCTGCTGCTGCTGCTGCTCCTGTTGCTGCTATATTTAAACGATGCAAAAGGGAGCAACTATTAAAAAAAGGCAGCAATCGTAGCTGCTGCGGCTATTCCCACTGCAACAAGAGCAGTAGCTGCTGCTACTGCTCCTGCTGCTGCTGCTGCTCTTGCTGCTGCTTCAGCTGTATGTAACTTTAAAAATAGGCAGCACCCTCTCTGTTCTGCATGCAGCAGCAAAAAAACATCGTAATACGGCTGCAGGTGCAGCAACAACAATGGCAGCTAACTAACAGAACCAACAGCAGCAGCAACGACAACAGCAGCAGCAGCAGCAGCAGCAACAGCAGCTCACGCAGCAACAGCGAGGAGTCCCTGGCTCTGCAGCAGCACAGAATGATATCCAGCGAAAAAAGATGCAGGCAGCAGCATCAAGGGAGAGACAAGCTTGGTGCTGTTTGCTGCTGATGTTGCTGCTGTTGTTGCTGTTGCTGCTGCTGCTGCTGTTGTTGTCCGTTCATCTGCTGCTGGCCTTCCGCAGACAAGCATACGCGGCTGCACATCCTGAAGGGAAATAGCAGCAACAGCAGCAACAGCAACACGAGCAGCAGATCAGCTTGCTAATAAGGGGAACTAAAGAAGCAGCAAGGCAGCAGCAGCAGCTGCTGCTGCTGCAACAGCAACACCAGCACGCACCTGCAGCAGCAAGTTCGTTTCAATGCGACACAACCCTGGAGCGACAGCACAGAGAAGAGCAGCAGCGACTTGCTGCTGCTGTTGCTGCTGCTGCTGCTGCTGTCGTGGCATAGTGTCAAAAAGACCGTTTGTTCGAGACGTCTCTGCTGCTGTTGCTGCTGTTGTTGCTGTTGCTGCTGCTGCTGCGTCGGGTGCTGGTGCACTCATAACGGCTTCTGCCTGCAGCAAACACACACAACAGCAAAAGGGTTGTGCTGCAGCAGGCCTGCATATACACTCCATCTGCTGCTCCCTACTGCACCGGTGCAACAGCAGCACAACCATCAGCAGCAAAAAACCAGGGCAGCAGCAGCAGCAGCAGCAAAACGCAGCAGCAAGAAAAACACAGAAAAGTAGACATCGACGTACAGCTGAGACAGATACACCCAACACCACCGCCGCCACCAGCTGCTGCTGCTGCTGCTGTTGAGGCTGCTGCTGCTGACGCATGGAGGAGGAGAGCGTTCCTGCCTGTGCTGCTGCCTGCTGCAAACCCCCTGGCGCTGCTGCAGCGCGCAGCAGCTGTGGATCAGCGCATGCAAAAAAGAATAGAGCAGCAGGGGGAATAGCATCAGTGCTGCTGCTGTTGCTGCAGCTGCTGCTGTTGCTGCTGCTAGGAATGAATAGCTGACAGAAGTTCTCAGCAGCAGCTCCTGCTGCGAGGGGCTCAACGCTGTGCAGAGTCCGCCCTGGCATTGCTGCAGCAGCAGCAGCTGCTGCTGCTGCAACAGGAAGAACCGGTGCAGAAGCAGCAGCAGCAGCCGGAGCCGCTGCAGCGGCAGGAACCGCCGAAGCAAGAGAAGTTAGACCCTCGTCAGCAGCAAACGTCAATCCTGCAGGGGACTGGTGATCGTAAACCATCATCTGCTGTTGCTGCTGCTGCTGTTGCTGCTGCTGCTGTTGCTGCTGCTGCTGTTGCTGCTGCTGCTGCAGTTGCTGCTGCTGTACAAGCAACTGATTCCCCAAGCAGCCACAGCACGAATCATGTGAAGCAGCGGAAGACAACAAACAAGGCGCTGCTGCTGCTGGTGCTGTTGCTGGTGCTGCTGCTGCATCTGCTGGGACAGCAAGTGGTGATCGTTGCCGTTGCTGTAGCATAAGCTGCTGCTGCCGCTGCTGTTGCTGTTGCTGTAGTGATCCTCGCAGCTCCGAAGCCCTTGGAGGCAGCAGCTGCGTCTGCTGCTGCTGCTCCTGCCGGTGCCGTTGCTGCTGCAGATAAGGCTGTTGCTGCCGGAGCAGCAGCTGTTGCTGCTGCAGCAGAAGCTGCTGCTGCAGCAATAGCTGCTGCTGTGATGCCCAGCCGGCAACATGAGTACTGTTTCCTGCTGCACTGAAATCCTCCCCTTTATCCGCAGGCAGAGACACAGCAGCAGCAGCAGCAGCAGCAGCAGCAGCATCAACAGCATGGTGTCGCGATGATTGTGCTGCTCCCGCCAGTTTGCTGCAGATGTTGCACTGTACTGTCTCTGCAGCAACTTGTTGTTGCTCGCAGCAACACCGAGGCATACTGCTGCTCCTGCTGGTGCTCCTGTTGCAGCAGCAGCAAGCATGCCGCTGCATGCAACAAACGGTGCTGCAGGTTGCTCCCTCGCGCGGCACTGCTGCTGCTGCTGCTGCAGGAATCCGTCCTGTGCAGTTGCGCTGTCTCATGCCAGCAAGGGCCTGCTGCTGCTCTTGCTGTTGTTGCTGCTGCTGCATCTTTTGTGATGAGATGCGCGGCTTCAATAGGTCTGCAGGAGCAGCAGCAGCTGGCGAGCGCCCTCGGCACTGCAGCAGCCCGACTTGAGGGCGCCCAGCAGCAGCAGCAGGAACAGCAGGGGAAGCTACAGTGCAGCGCTGATCAGCAGGCGACGGCGCTGTCAGTTTGCTGCTCTTGCTGCAGCAGCTGCAGCAGCAGCTGCAGCCACACCTGGAGCAACGAACACGCTGCTGCTTCTGTTGCTGTTGTTGCTGCTGCTGCTGATGCTGCTGTCGCTGCTGCTGCAATGAATACCCGTTGTCTACACTGTGGGAGATACCCCACGGATGTGTTGCTGCTGCTGCAGGTGATGCAGCTGCTGCTGCTGCTGTTGCTGTTGCTGGCAGTTCCGCGTGCATGCGCACTTTCAGGCGTTGTCGAGGTGCTGCTTCCGCTGTAGTTGCTGCTGGGCTGCATGCATCATCGGTATCAGCAGCAGCAGCAGCAAATGCCTTAACTGCTGCAACACGTCTGCAGCTGCAGCGGGAAGCAGCAGAAGAAGGAGACAAAGAACTATCAGGGCTTAATGTTAGGGAAGAAGGAGACATTAGTGCTGCACCTAGGGAGGAATAAGCTGTTGCTTCTCCTGCAGCAGCTGCTGCTGCTCTAGCTGCTGCAGCTGCTGCTGCTGCGGCCTCAGCAACCGCCTGCTCAGCCTCAGCTAAAGCTGCTGCTTCTTCTGCTGCAGCTGTTGCAGCAGCAACGTCAGCTGCAGCGGCAACTGCAGCAACTGCACTTGCTGCTGCTGCTGCTGATGAAGGATGCAGCAACTTGCGGCTGTAGCTGCTGCTAGATGAGGCCTGTCGTATGGCAGCAGCAGCAGGAGCAGCAGCAGCAGCAGCAGGATGCCCCGCAGATCTTGGACGCTGCAGTTGATGACGGTGAAACCGGGCTATCAAACTGCTTTCCGCGTTGCTGCTGCTGCTGCTGCTGCTGCTGTTGGTGTTGCTGTTGTTGTTGCTGCGAATGCCTCGCCAACTGCTGCTGCTGCTGCTGCTTCGTGCTCGTGCGCCTTCCCTGCTGCTTGCCCTAGACACAATCGGCAACGGCTGGAGCAGCATCCGTTGCTGCTGCTTTCGCCATTGCTGCAACTGCTGCTCCTGACGTCGCAGGAGCTGCTGCTCTTGTTCTTGCTGTTGCTGTTGCTGCTGCCGTCTTTGCTGCTGCTGCTGCTTCTGCTGCTGCTGCTGCTTCTGTCTCTGTGCCCAGTTCTCGCGGTGTGCGAAGCTCGTTAGCCAGCAATCCTGCAGCGATGGCAGCTGCTTCGTTGCCCCAGGAGTCTGCTGCTGGTCCTGCAGCTCCTGTTGCTGCTGCTGCTTCTGTTGCTGCTGCTGCTTCTGTTGCTGCTGCTGCTCTTGTTGTTGTCGCTGCTGCTGCTGCTGTTGCCGCTGGTGCTGCAGTACCTGAATAAGCTCGAAGGTCTTTGCATCGAAGATCAACACCGAATGCACTGACGCTGCTGCTGCCCTTCTGCTTCTGCGCAAATTCGCATGCTGCTGCTGCTGCTGCTGCTGCAGCAGCTTCCCATTCGCCTGCGCTGCAGCATCGCTTGCGGTTACTGTTCTTCTCTTTGAGAGCAGCAGCTGCTGCTGCACCTTTTGTTGCTGCTGCAGCTGCAGCTGCTGCAGCTGCTGCAGCGACGACAGCTGCACCGCGTTGCTGAGGGCTGACCAGAAGGCAGCAGCAATTTGTAGGCCAACCTCAAAGGGAAGCAAACCATCAGCTGTACACACACAACACGAACAGAGAAAAAAAAGGGTATGCTGCTGCTGCTGCTGCCGTTGTTGTTGCTAATGCTGCTGCAGTAGTTAGTTATATAAGTAGACACAAGGGCAAGGTGGTGGTGGTTGTGCTGCTGCTGCAGAAGCAGTAGCTTTTGGTGCTGCTGCTGCAAATTGAGTGTTTTGCTGCTTACTTGTGTCTGTGTCCCTATGCGGGAGTGCTATTGCTGCTGTTGTTGCTGCTGCTGCAGTTGCTGCTGCTGCATACGTCTTATGGACGCGAGCAACAGCAGCAGAGAGAGTGGCAAGCTGTTGCTGAGTACCCAGTTGCTTTTGCTTCTGCTGCTGCTGTTGCTGCAGCAGGTGTTGCTTCTGCATGCGTACGATAGACTCCGCTGCCTTAGAAAATGTCTGCAACAAAATACGTAGCGGCAGCAGCTCCTCTTCCTGCTGCTGCTGCTGCTGCTGCTGTCGCCAACGCTTCTGCAACCGCTGCTGCTGCTGCTGTTGCTGCCTGTCGTGAGCCACAGACTGCAGCAGCAGAAGGCGAATGCGAGGGAGCAGGTCATTCGTAGATGCAGCAGACGAAATTTGCCGCTGCTGCTGCAGCTCCTCCTTTTGCTGCAGTTGCTGGAGCTGCTGCTGCTGCGTGCTGCCGCTTGCTGCATCAGCTGAAGCAGCAGCAGCAGCTGCTGCTTCCCCTACAGAAGGAAAGGCCTCTGCAGCATCATAGCCGCTGCTGCAGGTGGTCGTACAGCGCGTGGATATTAGAGCAACCACAGAAGTCTTGCTGCTGCTGCTGCTGCTGCTGTTGCTGCTGCTGCTGCTTTGTAACGCCGTCTGCCGCAGAGCTTCTTTATCGGGCTGCTGCTGCTTATGGATCCCATTAAGCTGCTGCTCCTCCTCCTTATGTTGCCCCTGCTCCCTTCGATCTTGCTGCTGCTGCTGCTGCTGCTGCTGTTGCTGCTGCTCTCGTGCTGCAGCCTCTGGCCCACTAACGCTCCGCATGCCGTCACGGTCAAGCGCTGGCGCGCTGGCTGTTGCCGCCTCTGGTTTTGCTGATGTTGTTGCTGCTGCTGCTGTAGTTGCTGCTGTTGCTGCAGTTTCCGTGGTTGTTAGCAGGTGTGCTCCTGCCTCAGGCCCTGCAGCATCTGCTGCAGCAGATTTCAATGCTGCTTCTTGTGTTGTTTCTGTATCTGTTGCTGCAGTCTCCTCTGCTGCTGCTGCTACTGCCGTTGTTGCTGCTGCTGCTGTTGCCTGTGTGCAGCCCAATCTGTAGGCAGTGTCTGTGAGCCACTCTATTGCTGCTGCATCCGCTGCAGCTGCTGCATTTGCTGCTGCTGCTGCTGTTGCATCATCCGCTGCTGTAGTATCCCCAGTTGCTGCTTCCGAAGAAACTGCTGCTGCTGCTGCTTGTTCCCTCGTATGTACAGTCTCCGACTTGCTGGACACTAGCTCCGCCCCTGCTGCTTCTGCTGCTGCTGCTGCTGCGCCTCTGGAGTCCGCTTCTACTACTGCTGCTGCCTCTGCCAGTGCAGCCTCTGCTAGTGCAGCCTCTGCTGCTGCAGCCTCTGCTGCTGCAGCTTCCGCCGCTGCAGCGTCTGCTGCTGCAGCTCTTGCGGCTGCAGCTTCTGCTGCTGCTGCCTCTGCTGCTGCTGCCTCCGCTGCTGCTGCTTCTGCTTCTGCCGCCTCCGCTGCTGCTGCTGCTTCGGCAGCTTGTGCTGCTTCAGCTGCTGCAGCTTCTGCTGCTTCCGCCGCTGCAGCTTTTGCTGCATCTAGAGCCTCTGCTGCAGAAGCTTCTGCTGCTGCAGCTTCTGCTTCTGCGGCTTCTGCTGCTGCGGCCTCTGCATCTGCGGCTTCTGCCGCTGCAGCAGCTTCCTCTATTGCTGCTTCGGCTGCTGCAGATTCCCTTGCTGCAGCCTTTTCCGCTGCTGCTGCTGCTGCTTCAGCTTCAGCTGTTGCAATTTCTGCTGCGGCAGCGCTATCAGCTGCTGCGTCTGCTGCAGCAGCCCTTTTTGCTGCCATTTTTGCTGCTGCAGCTTCTGCTGCTGCAGCATCTTTTGCTGCAGCATCTGCAGCTGCTGCTTCAGCCGCAGCCGCCGCTGCTATTTCCGCAGCTGCTGCAGCAAATTCTGCTGCCTCCGCATTTGCTGCTGCAGCTTCTGCTGCTACGTCTTCCGCCTCTGTTGCTGCAGCCTCTGCTTCTGCAGCCTCTTCTGCTGCAGCCTCTGCCACTGCAGCTTGTTCTGCTGCAGCATCTGCTGCTGCAGCCTCCGCTGCTGTAGCTTCCTCCGCTGCGGCCTCTACCAGTGCAGCATCTGCTGCTGCAGCTTTTGCCGCTGCAGCTTCAGCTGCTGCAGCCTCCGCTGCTTCAGCTTCTGCTGCTGCAGCCTCTTCTGCTGCAGTTTCTGCTGCTGCAGCCTCTGCCAGTGCAGCCTCCGCCAGTGCACCTTTTGCTGCTGCAGCTTTTGCTGCTGCAGCTATTGCTGCTGCTGCTTCTGCAGCTGCCGCCTCTGCTGCTGCAGCGACTGCTGCTGCAGCTTCTGCCGCTGCAGCCTCTGCTGCTGCAGCTTCTGCCGCTGCTGCTTCTGCTGCTGCATCCTCTGCTGCTGCAGCTTCCGCCGCTGCAGCTTCCGCCGCTGCAGCTTCCGCCGCTGCAACTTCTGCTGCTGCAGCTTCTGCCGCTGCAGCCTCCGCCGCTGCAGCTTCTGCCGCTGCAGCTTCTGCTGCTGCAGAAGCGGCAAGGTTAGCTGCTGCAGCGCTCTCTTCTGCTGCTGCTGCTTCCTCTTCTGCTGCTGCTGCAGCTTTGAAGGCCCGAGAAACCTGAGCAGTTGCCTTTGCTGCAGCATTAGCAGCGGTAGTAGCAGCCAATTCCGTCTGCTGTACATCTTCCTCTGCAGCTACAGCAGCTTCCTGAGCAGCAGCAGCAGAGTTGCATGCTGCTTCCGTAACAGCCGCTGCTCGTTGGTATCGCGAGGCGGCAGCAGCAGCAGCATGCAGGGCTGCTTGTGTACCTGCTAGAGCAGCGTCTGCTGCTGCACCTGCTGCTGTTGCTGCATGCACGCGTTGCGCCAACCTGCCCTCTGCTCGATCACACGCAGCTTGCGCTGCAGCGGCAGCTTCCTCCGCAGCAGCAGCAGCAGCCTCTGCTGCTGCTGCTGCATCGCCAGTCTGTCGTGCTGCTGTCTCAGCTGCAGCAGCTACGTCCTCAGCAGCGTCAGCAACACGTGCTGCAGCCTCTGCTGCTGCTGCTGCTGCTGTTGCTACATCCGCTGCAGCGCTAGCACTGTCTCTCACCTTGGAGGCGCCACTGCAGCTGCTGCTACTGCTGCTGTCCGCCTGCTGCTCCCTTTGTTGCAGCGGCAAGCCTCGCCTCTTCCAGCACAAGTCAGCTTTGCCTGCTGCCGTTGCTGCTTCTGCTGCTGCAGCAGCAGGAGTGGCTGGTGCTGTTGATATATCTGTCGGCTTCTCAGGCGATGCAGCAGCAGCTGCTGCTGCTGCTCCACTTGCTGCTGCTTGCGATGCTACTTCTGGAGATGCGAATGCGTCTGAGTCCGCTGCTGCTGCTGCTGCTGCTGCTGAGTCATCGCTGCAACTCTCTTCAAGCAAAAAATCACAATCGTCAGCAGCAGCAGCAGGAGCTGCTGCTGTTGTTGCTGCTGCTTTTGTTGCTGCCGTTACTCCTGCTGCAGCCGCCGCTGCAGCGGATCGAGAAGGCGGCAGCTGTATATTCTCCAGAACCGACGAATCCCCACCATCATCAGCAGCTGCTGCTGCACCACGGCCAGCAGCAGCAGCAGCAGCAGCAAGAGAAAGAGTCATAGGGGAGGCCCACCGTGAGGATGAGGGTGAGGGCCCCACAGGCAAACTCCGGCCATGGAAGGCAGCTAGGCTCTCGTAGCTGCTGCTTCTGCTCATAATACTGCTGCTGCTGTTGCTGCTGCTTCTGTTGCTGCTGCTGCTGCTGCTGCTGCAGCTGCTACTGCTGCAGCTGCTGTAGCTGCTGCAACTACAGCGCGTGTTGCTGGCTAGATTCCTCCCAAGAGTATATGCTGCAAGAGCAGCATCCCCTCGCCGTTTCTGCTGCTGCTGCTGCTGTTGCTGTTGCGGCTGCTGTTGGTGTTGCGGTTGGCTGTGCTGGTGCTGCTGCTGCTGCTCACCCGAGTGCGCCGTCTCCCAAGAGCTCTCCCCTTCTTGAGGATGGCTTAAGGCCTCTCCCGTGTCCTTGCTGCTGCTGCTGCTGCTGCTGTTGCTGAGGGCCAGGGATGGCACCTTGTTGGACCTCTGCCACCTTCCAGGTGGCAACTCCTCTGCTTCGGGTGTAGAAGCAGCTGCTGCTGCTCTACGTTGCTTCGGAGAGCCTTGTTGCTGCTGCTTCTGTGTGTGCTGCTGCTCCTCCTGTTGTTCTTCTTGCTGTTGTTGTTGCTGCTGCTGTTGCTCTTCTTCTTGTTGCTGCTGCTGTTGTTGTTGCTGCTGCTGCTGCTGCTTGGAGAAGGGGACCTTCAATTGGGTGGGGACGAAGCGTCTTACAACTCCTGCAAACCAAGACGACTTGCTGCTTGTTGCAGCGCCTGTTGCTGCTGCTGCTGGTGTTGCTGCTGCTGCTGCTGGTGCTGCTGCTGTTGCCTCAGCAGAGGCTGCAGCCGAATCAACACTTGTTGCTTCCTCCACTTCTGCAGGCTTCCTGCTGCTGCTCCTGCAGCTGCTGCTGTCGTTGCTGCTGCTGTTGCTATTCCCAATGCCAGCAGCAACAGGCGATGATCCGCTCGCAGGCCTCTCCCGCTGCAGCAGCAACCGAGAAGCAAAAGAAGACCCCCTAGGAGCATTTGCTGTTGCTTGTGCTGCAGGTCTGCTGCTGCGCCACAGCCGCTGTTGCTTCTCCACCAGCAGCCACGCCTGCTGCTGCTGCTGCTGCTTCTGCTGCGTCGCCGCATCTTGAGCGAGTTCGATCTGCTGCGTGCTGTCTCCGCCCATCTCTCCAGATGCTGGGTTTGCTGCTGCTGCTCCTCCCGCTGCAAAAGCAGCTGCTGCTTCTGCTGCTGCAAGGATACTCGGTGGCAGCACAGCCTTCGTAACAGCAGCAGCAACAGCTGCAGCATCAGGAGAGCCCATTGCTGCCTTCTTCTGGTGCAGCAGCAAACCATCCAATGACAGCAGCTTCGGTAGTGCCGCTATAACGCTTTGCCTAAACAGCAGCAGCAGCAACAGCAGCAACAGCAGCAGCAACACCAACAACAATTGGAAAACGCGGGATAGGCCAGTGCGGTTACTGATAGGATGCGCTGCAACAGGGGAAATCCTTAGCAACAGCAGCAGCAGCACAAGCAGCAGCACGAAGAGCAGCAACAACAGCAGCAGCAGCAACAACAGCAGCAGCAGTAGCAGCACACGAACCTGTACGCAGAACGTTTCTTTGCCTGAGCCTTCACATTTGCATCATTGGCATTTGTTGTTGCTGCTGCTGCACCTGCTGCTGCTGCTGAACAGCTGCTGGGTGCCACAGGCAGCAGCAGCTGCTGCTGCTTCTCCTGCTGCTCCTCTGACTGCTGCAGCTGCTGGCGTACCAATTGCTCATATTCTTTATCCGTTATAAATAGGACCGACGGCGACTGCTGCGCTGCTGCAGCTATCTGCTGGGCACCTGCCTCCTGCTGCAGCTGCAGCAGCTGTTGCTCCTGCTGCTGCTGCTGCTGCTGCTGTCGCTGCTCCAGCGATGGGTATAGGCCCTCAGCAATCGGCGTATTTCGCAGAGACAAATGCTGCAGCGTTTGCGCCTGCATGCAGCAGCAGCACAACAGCACACAGTTGCAGTTGCAGCAGCAGCAGCAGCTGGAGTAGGAACAGCAGCAGCAACACAGTAGCAGAAGCTTGCATGCACCGCAGCATCCGAGACAGCAGCAACAAGGACAGAAGCAGCAGCAGCAGCAGCAGCAGCAGCAGGTCTTACGATGGGTCTTAAGGCGAGCAAGAGAGCCTGTATAGACAGCAGAGGATTATCATCAAGCAGCAGCAGCAGCAACTTCTTTTTATTATCAAAGGTGTGGGGCGGCAGCAGCAGCAGACCGTTGCTTCTTAGATCTAGCTGCTGCAGTTGTGGCAGTGCAGCAGCAGCAAATGCATGCAACCAACCATCTAAGCTGCTGCTGCAGCAGCAAATTGACAATCGAGACAGCTGAGAGAAAGATATAGCAGCAGAAGACACAGGACGCAAACAAACTCCCCATCTGTTGTTGTTGCTGCTGCTGCTGCTGTTGCTGTTGCTGCTGCTGCTGCTGCTGCTAGAAGTGTTAGGCGGAGATAGCCTGGCATCACTGTCGCTGGTCTGGTCAGCACTGCTGCTGCTGCCGCTGCTGCTGCTGGAGGGGCTCCACAAGTCTTCAATTATCTCCAGTGCCCGAAACTTGCTGCTGCTGCTGCTGCTGCTGCTGCTGTTGTTGCTGCTGCTGCTGCTGATGACATTGAGGTGCTGCAGTTGGGGTACTCTCCAGCGTTGTACAGAACGCCAGAAGCAAGCAGCAGAGCGGTTCTTATTTCTGCTCAAGCTACATCTGTTGCTGCTGCTGCTGCTGCTGCGTTTGCTGCTGTTGCTGCTGCTCCCTCCTGCGGTAGACCCTCCACACAATGCTCCCACTTGCTGCTGCTGCTGCTGCTGCTGCTGTTGCTGCTGCTCAGGCAGCAGCTCAAGCGTAATGCTCTTGAGAGTATCGTGGCATATCTGAATGGGCCCCATCTCTTGCTGCTCCTGCTGCTGCTGCTCCTGCTGCTGCTGCTCCTGCTGCTGCTGCTGCTGTTCTTGCTGTTGCCGCTGCTGCAGTTGCTGCGGGTGCAAGGACAGCAGCAGCTGCTGCAGCTTAGGGGCGCATTCTAATCCCCCTATAATCTGTATGGGGTTATCTCTTGCATCTAGCAGCAGCAGCTGCTGCAGCGATGAGCTAGCTAGCTGCTCCCCTAAGGAAGACAGAGAGTTGCTGCTGATGTCAAGGACCTGCAGCGAGGGTAATGTAGGCAGCAAAGAACAGACACCAAATAGCTCCCTGCTGCTGGTGCTGCTGTTGCTGCTGTTGCTGTTGCTGCTGTTGATTGCTGCTGCTGCTAGGGAAGCTTCCCGTCCTTCGTGCTGCTGCTGCTGTTCCTGCTGCTGTTGAGCAGAGGAATCCTCAGCAACACCATCACCATCAGCAGCAGCACCACCAGCACCATCAGCAGCAGCAGCAGCAGCAGCAGCAGCAGCAGCAGCAGTACCTGGTAGACGCAAGCAATTATTACTAAGAGAGAGGATCCTTAGGTGCTGCAGATGCTGCAGTGCTCGTAAGGAATTATCTGTTAATCTGTTGCTGCACAGCAGCAGCTGCTGCAGCAGAGGTGCAGCAGCAGCAAGATAAGGGAGACACCGTAGATCTAAGCAGCATAAAGATAAATGTACTAAATGCTGCAGCAAAGAAGGAGGCAGCAGCAGCAGATTGCTGCTGCTCCTGCATACTACTGATGGTGTTAATACAGCAAGAAATACTGCATCTGCTGCTGCTGCTGCTGCTGCTGCTGATGCAGATGCAGCAGGTGCTATAGCAGCAGACCCTCCAGAGACGACTACTGCGCCCTCCTGCTCATGCTGCTGCTGTTGCTCTTGCTGCTGCTCTTGCTGCTGCTGCTGCTGCTGGCTACCCTCAGCAGCAGCAGTAACTACCTGCTGCAGCAGACGCTGCACTGCAGGCATGCGTAAGTTTGCTGCAGCAGACACTACTACATGCACCTCAGCAGCTAATCGTCTGATTACTACCTGCTGCTGCTGCTGCTGCTGCTGTTGCTCATCCTGCTGCTGCTGCTTCTCTTGAAGCAGCAAAATATCCTCTTGCACCTGTTGTTGTTGTTGTTGCTGCTGCTGCAACTGGAGCTGCTGCTCTCGCTGCTGCTGCTGCTGCTGCTGCTGTTTGTCCTCCTGCCCGTCCAGCAGCAGCACAACTCTCGAAGCCGCTGCATCTCCCGTGTCCGCAGCAGCAGCAGCAGCTACTGCTGTTGCTTCTGCTGCTGCTGCTTCTGCTGCTGCTGTGGGACTCCGCAGCAATTGCTGCAGCCTCTCAAGTGCCTCTAAAGTGCATGCAATGCTGTTGCTGCTGTCTGCTGCATGCAGCGAATGTGGGGTGTCTGTACTCGGCTTAGCAGCAGAAGCAGCAGCAACAGGGGATGCATGCAAAGCAGATACTCCTGCTGCTACACCTGCTACACCATCTGCTGCTGCTGCTGTAGATGTAGCTGGTGCTGCATCTGCTGCTGTGTCTCGTGATGGACCTGCTGCTGCTGCTGCTGCTGTCGCTGCTGCTCCAGTTGCTGCTGCAGCTGCTGCTACTGGGAGTGCCAAGGGAGCCAAAGGAGAAGGCCCAATGGATTTGCTGCTGCGCGGCATTCTAAGGAGGACTGCAGCAGCAAGCAGTCCATCCTGCTGCTGCTGCTGGCGCTGCTGCTGCTGCTGCTGCTAGCGCATGAGGCAGCAGATCTCCTCCTAGAGAATAAAAGAAGCATGAAGCAGCAGCAGCAGCAACAACAACAAAGGTAGATCTACAGCAGGATGGAGCAGTTGGTTGATGTTGCTGCAGTTGCTGCAGATGCTGCTGGTGCTGCTGCCGCTGCTGCTGCTGCTGCTCAAGCTGCTGCTGCAAATATTGGCAATTAAATAATAAATCCTCCTCTTCTGCAGCAAAAACATCTTGCTGCTGGGGGGGAGGTGTTGCTGCTGCTGCTGCTGCTGCTGTAGGTCTCCTTGGGGCTGTGTTGTGTGGCTATGGTGGTCTTTCTTCTTTTTTCTTCTTTTTTTCTCCTTTTTTTTGTTCTTTTTTTGTTTAATTCTTTTAATTAATTATATTATATTATTATTATTATTTATTTAAGCAGCAAAGGTAATATAATTAGACCAATTTCCTCTACTTTGTTGCTGCTGCTGCTGCCACTGCTACTGGTATAATGCTGCTGCCATTGGTGTAGCACTGTTTTGCTGCTGCTGCTGCTGCTGCTGCTGCTATTGCTGCTGCTGCTGCTGCTATTGCTGCTATTCCCAATGGATCTCTTTTTGTTGCTGCAGGTCTTATAGATGCTGTGGCTGTAGCTGTGTAGTTGCTGCAGTTACCCTCGATCCTGCTGCAGCCTAGCTGCTGCTGCTGCTGCTACTGCTGCTGTTTATAGTATGTCTGCTGCCTGCAGTTGTTTTTTTTGCTTCTTTTTGCATGCAAATTGGGAACAAATAGCCAAGAATGTCTGTGTACTCTGTCTACACTATTGGTGCATGCAGCCAAGAGGGCTTGCTGGTGTGGCCGCTCGTCCTGCTGCTGCTGTTGCTGCTGATCTTCGTTGAAGGTGCTGAGCCCTATGCTGCAGCACTACTGCAACACTGCTGCAGCAGAACAGCAGCAGCACAACAGCAGCACAGCAGCAGCACAGGGCGTCGTGGTGCTGCTGAGTCTCTTATGGCCTCCCGTTGCACCTGATGGCCAAGGGGACACAAAGACACAGCAGCAATGAACCCTTGTTGCTGTCCCCTTACAGCTAGCTAGCTAGCTAGCTGGCTAGCTAGCTGGCTAGCTAGCTAGCTAGCTAGCCTGCCTGCTGCTTAGCCCCCATCCGTGCCTACGAGAAAAAAAGGAAGACAGAGATAAATAGAGATTATTTTCTTATGTCTTCCTCTTCTCCTCTAATAAATAAGAAGAAACTAATTAATAAGTGTCTCCTTTTCTCCCTTATTGTCTCCTTTTCTCCCTTATTGTCTCCTTTTCTCCCTTATTGTCTCCTTT